TTCTAGATTCCAGTTCAGTTTGCTCCTTCATTAATTTAGTCATATTCCGATTACCGGTATCTCTTTCTAGCTGGGCAATCTGGAAAAAATATTCACTTTCAGGTGATTAACTACACAATTTTCAAACCTGGGACTGGAGTTGGGCACAATTTCTGTACAGTTCTGTATTTTCCTTTTCCATGGCTGCGAGCGATTTGTCGATGGCTTTTCTTTCGCTGAGCGTGTTACGAACAGCTATTTCGGTGCGTGTTTTTTCTTCCTCCAGCTAAAAGTGATCCATCAGGAGGTATACTGATATTTGAAGAAAATATCAGATGCAGTATACTTACAGCCTCAACATGCTTCTTGAGAGACGCCACTTCTCGTTCTAAACGTGCACGGAAACCGTCCAACTCTTTCTTTTCGACCTCTACTCTGACAAGCTTCCGTTTCAGTTCCTCCACTTCATTTGTCAGCACCAATCTTTCTGAATTCAATCACTTTGAAATATCAGTAGCTATTAGCTTTATATGATAACCTTTTTATTCAAATACAAAGGACATAGTCTGGAAAGACTCGACGGTTAACATAGTGCAGCTGCGGTGACAACAACACCTGCGCGTGAAAACTGGCAAGGAAGCGCACAATGTTGACGGCCAGTATATGCGCGCAAGTGCGGCAGCGTTGAGAGTCTGTGTAATTCGTAAGAGCTATCGGATATACCATGTGCTGCCTCGGCGAAATGAGACAAAAAATGCCGCCACGCTGCCTGACGCGCGCATACAGACTGTTAGTAAACACTACTACGATCTATGTCAACTCAAGGCTCCCTTTTCCGGCGCAACTATGCATCCGCAGCGCGTGGACATTGCGCAACGATCTGCGATGGTGGCGAATGAACACGCGTCGCGGGGCTCTAACATTGCGCGTAAGCTGATCGATAAAGGTACACATCATTGACACAGACTATAAAAATGATCCAGATTTCTTGAACAACCTACCCCTACGAAGCATAACCAGTTCGTCCCTCATCTCCCGCTCTAGCTTACTCCATTCTCCTTCAGCCCGTTGGAAAGCGGCAATCTGTTGAGTGAGCATTCTTTTTGACTGATTTCCATCCTCGCATCTTCGCTCAGCGTCACCCAACTTTTGCACCAGCAACGCATTGCGATGATTTGAATCACGCAATTCATTCCTTGAAAATAAGTTTTATGGATGCAGAGTTGGAAGCAAATCGTCAGACAGACTTCATTCGGTCAAGTTCAGCAGCCAGCGCATCGTTCTTTGCAATAAGTGCATCATGGTTCTGCTGCAGATGAGTGATCTTCTCTTCAAACACGGTTTTTTGGTAATCTTGCGTTGTTCTTTTCGCATTTACTGCCTGAAATTACAAGGAATGAGATGATCATATACTTGAAAAAATCGATTTTTTATGTTTGCACATACAAGAATACATTAGATAAGTTCTGACCCCCCCCCCACTATTGTCTTACTACAGCGCATTGAAAACTGCTGGCTTTGTTTTTGTAGAGGGATCGTACGCAAAGAATGGACGCAGTTGCGTTCGATGTATACGGTTCGTCTTGGGGACAGACGGGAAGGGATATGGGCACATCCACACTTGATCCACTTCATCCAATTCTCAATTGGTCAGATCAGTGAACGGACCAACAGTGAAGTAGATGGATCAAATGGATTGGGTGAACATTTGCTTCGCTACTGGTCAGCTCACTGATCTGACCAATAGCGAAGTGGATCAAGTGGATCATGCGGACAAGTGGATCAAGTATGGCGTGCGCCATAACAGCGCTCTACAACAGAGCAGCCGACAACGTTCGCGATCGCGATTTGTCCCTGTATGCGATGGCACATCTACCAAATCTTTTTTTCTTGGCTCAGGGATTTTTGAAAATAAACTGAGAAAAAACATATCATCTTATTCTGAACTATGCAATGTCCTATTTGCGTGTCGCAAGGTAGTAGCAACGATCGAAAAGGACACCTCGACTGAGACAGATCATACTTCCACACATAAACGTCCAAAATCAAGCTCTGAATGCAAATGGGAATTGATAGAGTTGGCTACACGAAATCGCCCGAGTCGCTGTAGGGTGCGCACGCGAGCGTGCCTGCAGCGCGGCTGCCGAGTACGGGCGCTGTGATGACTCATGCGCGCAAATGTCCGTAGAGACAAACTCGCGAGCGCTCAGCTCGGACGATTCCGTGCAGTCAACTATATCTCTATTCTGAGTTTTGCTGGTTATGTCTTTGTTGGAAGCCAACAGTTTTCAATTTCTTCCCAAGACCAACTGCATGTTTCCAACGCCTTTCCTCAGACTGTAGTTTCTCGATGTGTTCGCGTTCCTTCCGCTGTTGCTTTCTTGCTTCTTCCAGTAACTTCTGCGCTTGTTCCAACTCATACTCAAGGTCGCTCAACCTAGCCCGAGATATCTGAAAGATCACACATTAAGTATGAAAGCAAAGTTATAACAAGCGTGATCACAAGCCTACATGAAGGATCTAGTTTATGTAATAGTAAGAGGAGAAACCTTTTTAATTTGTTGGGCAGTTTTTCAGCAGCTAGTATTGTGTGGTAAACAAGGAAAAGAAATAACAGTGGATGAACTACAAAAATTTCTTTGAATTTGCTTGAAAGGCCATTCATCAACAAAATCCAAACAGAACCCTGTCCTCGATTTCTTATGTAAAAGATGATTTCGGGAGATACTGAACGATCAGTTGCCCCAGCACTAACTCATGGTATTCATTCGTGGCCAGAAAGTCAACTCTAAACGATAGCTCAGCACCGTAGTAGTGGACGAATTATCATCTTCAAGCACGGTACCTGGCGAGAGCTTAAATTTGCTCTTATCAGCCATGAATGACTCCCTACGATTGCCGCTTGGGCTGTGACTGAATTAAAGCCTCTCAGCACTATGCACATGAGTTTATGCGCCTGATGTGTGGGCGCTGTCTCCGAGTATATAAACTGTTGAACCAAAGAAAAACTGCAAGACAAACCTTATTCTCACTTTCCACCTCAGATAGCCTTTTAATGAGTTGTTCACGTTCTTGCAGTAACTTCTTGCTGTCATTCTCATAGGCTCTCACGTCTTGTTCGGCTCCTTTCGCTATGTTGCTCAACCTTGTCCGCTCAGCAATGATTTGCGTATGCTCCATCCGTAACGCCTCTAACTGGCTCTGAACGCAGAATCACGATAGTAAATTCAATCCTCAAATTACCACTTCTCTCACCGTCAACTGACTGATTTTGCTGTCTTTTTCACGAATATGCAGCTCAGCGCTCATGATTTTCGCTTTCAGATTTCGATGTTCGAGATCTTTTGCTCTCATGGTTTCTTCATTCGAGACGTACAGTTGTCGCTGTGTGGCCAGCCGTGACTCCAGATTTTCGTTTTCTGAAGTTTTTGAGTATAAGAATATCAAAGCAATCGTTCGATGATATATAAGGTTACAAATTCAACTGTAAAATTTCATAAATTCTAAAAAAATCAAATCAGCATATGTTTTCGTAAGCGGTTACCTAATATTTGGGCGATTTTTTTTGCAAGACATGGCTAACGTCACACCCCTCAATCTTAGAATTTTGTCCCCCCCCCACTCTCGAAAACATTTTTAGTATCGCTACTGCAATGTAGTACTGCGTTACAAATGGTAGGGCAAAACGCGCCTCAGGCCTACATTCCTGCGACCTACGCGTCGAAACCGCGCCGCTGCGCTAGTCGCAACGCGTGCGTTGTTTGCGTGATGATGCAAGCTAACTTACCTCTTTGTAAATCTTGCACGCGTCTTTCCAATGATTGCATAGCTTGGACAGCGTCCTGCATTTGAGAGGCATTCTTTTCCATTTCATCACGGCGAGACATTAGTTCATTGTTGAGCTCAGCCTAGATTCGCAGACTGAGATCAGAGTCTAGTCATGGATGAAGGCGAATGATTTATTCTTGCGAAGAGAGCGTGGCGCTCATGCACCCTTTTATCATTAGAGCAGGCCGATATCTGTCCGCGCGCCACTCTCGCTTATGTGAATACTCGCCTTCATCCGACATCGAACTATACTCCATACCTTATCCCTTTCTAACTGCTCGATACGTTCTTTGAGGTATCTCAACGTGATCTCCATCGATGAGCTGATATCCATGAGCCTATCTTGGTCAGGGAAGTGGACCTAAATGGGAGAAGAGGCTCAGCGAGAAAATTACTGTCCAATTGAAGCGAGGGCTTTTTATTTGAAACTGATTACGAGGCCTGAACTAAGCAACTGTCCAAGAAGGAGTTTGATTTGTTTGTGGTCAAGAAATGCAACTTCAAAGTTTCGCCCATACCGTACCCTTTCCGAGCGACCAATCAGCGTTCTTGAGTACGGTAAACGTACGGTCTGGGTTAGGGTTTGCAGTGAAACTTCTCGGCACGAATAAATCATATGAGCTTGGAAACGGCTAATCAATGAATCTCAACCATTGTCAACGTAAGAAACCCAGGCACACAATTTGTATGAACATTGTCTTTGGGAACATTGCCATACCGTTCTTTCCGGAGTCTCTCTGAAAGACAAATCATGTGTGCTAGAGGCAGTACGTATTATAGAGATAGATTCGCCGATTCCTAAAAAATAATTAGCGGAATTTGGTCCATTTGACAGACCAACCTTATTTTTATCTTACCTGAAGATGAAGCAGCCTTTGGTATGTCTACGATCGATTGTCCTCGAGAACCTGAAAGAGATTTTTTTGTTCAATTAAATTAGCTTCACCTAGCACAAAGAGGAAGAAGAAACTTGCCAGTCATTCCCAAAGCCATCTTAGCACTCCGTTCATATTGATAAATTTTGTTCACTAGATCTGCGTTCCTGGCTTCCAAGTCTTCTACGCGTGATTCTAGTTCTGTGCGTCGTTTCTCGAGACGCTCCATTTTGGCGCTGAAAACCTCATATTTTGAAATCAAAAACCACTTTTTGCATAACCCATTCTAGGCTTTTGGTGATTGAACATAAAATCTATTCATAGCTTCTGTTTCTAGGCTTACCTACCATCATGCTTCGAGCAAAGCTGAGATTCAAAGAATATTAGCAGAACTCAAAAGGTAAGCTTTTTCTCGTACTAAAATCCAAATCAGCCCTCTAAGATATTCAGGGAAAAGTGTTGATCAAGCTCGAAAAACCAACAACTTTATTCTCGGAGACTTGGACAATCAAGCCGTTATAGTCGGGTAAAAGTCATTTGCTCTCCCCTCGCCCCCTTCGATACCTAATCAGCACTGCCCTCGTTCTCTGATTCAACAAAGAAGAGTTAGACAGGAAATTTTTGGTCCATACATATCTAGTTATAATGGCCGTCCCAAATCTCAGTCCGGGGGAGGGGGGAATTTTTTTTTCAATGGTGTGTGACCACGCACCTTCATTCGGAAAAAAATAGCAGCGCATTTCAAAAATAAGACCCCAAAATTTTTGTGGGCTCTCAGAAGCCCGGGCAGCAGCCACGTTCCTAAAAAGATTTTTTTGCTGGGCTCGTTCGAATTTTTAGAAAACTTTAATAATTACTTTGATTATTTACACGTAAAAACGTCGCGTTTCAAACTCTATCAGTTACTAAGAGAAATAATTACTACCTTTTTAAGGAAAACGAGTTTGATTATTTGAGGGTGATTATTCGCTGCTTTTGAATTAACGATTAACCCATGACAAAATTTTCAAATTGAACGCTACAGTGAAGAAATATGAAATAAAGATCTCAAGAAACAACAAAAAAATAAAACGTACTCTGATCATGAAAATAATTGAAATCTGCGAAATACTCAATCGTTATACTACAATAAAAAACATCCTTTTTGTGTTATTCGCTAAACTTGACCAAGATTGGTAATAATAACTTTAACACATCCAAAAATTAGTCGAAAATTCATGATGAAATCATTGCCGCATAGAAATGAGCATTTCTGACTAGTTGAAAAGGCTGCGATTCTTATTTTATCGCACTACAGATTTTTTTTTTACAAAAAATTCGCATTAGTTTGACACTTACTTGACTGTTAGCACCTGAGCTCTCAACTGCTCGCATTCAGCTGCTCTTTCAACGGAATTCTTTTCGGATTCCTTATAGTTGTTCAAGAGATCAGTCATCGCTTGCTTGGAAGTGGTCGTTTTCTTCTCGAGGGCCAAACGAACATGGGCCAGTTCATCGTTCAAAGACTTGCAAGTCGCTCTCAACTCATCGTTCTGTCGTGCAAGGTCGGTGTTCTGAAGCATGTCATACATCGAAAAAGGGGAGGGGGGCTGAAATAAACAAGATAATGGTGACTTACGCTTTCCTTGAGTTTATTCAGCTCTTGCAACATGTTCTGAGCGTCTGACTCCATTTTCTTCACTAAATCTGAGCTGACATCGCTTTTGGCAGTTTTATCCGCTAACTGGATCTCTAGCTGGCGGACCTACAAAATGCAAGTGTCAGATTTTCGAAAATTACTTTAAAAATCTTAAGCTACCTTATTCGTGAGAGTGATCACTCTATCATCTCGTTCACTTTTTTGCTCTTTTTCAGTCCTCGCCTTCATTTGAGCGCTCTGTTTTTCTCTATTCAAATCACGAAGTTTCTGTTCCAGCTCTAAAATCTCCAGAGGTACTGTAATGAAGCCAGAAATTTGAAATTTCACAAACCAGAAGTCCTCTTCTGTTCATCAACCAACTTCTTGGCTTGCCTGTCTCTTGCATTAGTCAGTTCGATGTTTTCCTGAAAAGCAAGTATATAAAGACATGAGCTCCAAAAAAAAAACTCAGCAGCTATTTCAATGTTTCTTGATATACTCTGAAATAACAGACTTGTGTCGAATCGCAGCCGTCAATACAAAAGCGCCATTTTTCATTCTCGCATTTCCTTAAGAAAATTTCGCGTCATCTCACAATTTTTAACGTCATGAATTATTTTTTGGGAAATGGCGTGATGTATGCTATGGCCCCTTGAATGAGTGTTGGCCCTTTTGGGTTAGGCGAGCTCTCCCTGGTAGCAGCAAGTTGGTGCCAGAGCAATTTATGACAAGCCCTAAACTGGTAACCGGTTAAGCTACTCGAATCTGTAAATAGCAAGCTTACTGCAACCTTCTGGACTATGTAGTAAAAAAACACCCCTACCCTTAGAGGGTATCAGTGACACGATTCTCTTATTCTTACATACATTTTTACAGTTTAGTGTGCTGATAGAAACCTCTTTTCTAGCATAAAAATATCTGAAGTCGCAGAAAAATCGTTTCCAATAATAAAATCTAGAACAACCACGACATACAACTTTAAGTATTCTGCTGAAAGGTGTGTCTGGATGGATAAAGGAAGATGAGAAAGCCCGTCTACGACTGATAGCCTCCTGTTAACGCCTTGATTTAGGAATATACCGTGATTTTCTCAACCGAAATCACATCGATCCGCTACGAAAACATTTCGTAAGGAACTTGATTTCGAGCTCAACTAAATCCTAGCTGTTCTTGCTTGAAAATGTCTAAACTGACTTCCATAATGAAAAAGTGATCTTCGACTTCCCCATATAAAGCTCATCTTCGGACTTAGTAACCTGGATCATCCACTGATGGGCGAATGACTAATGTCCAATCTGTTTTCGGAGGGATTCTCTCACTTTGGAAGTATTTGCAACTCAAATAATTACTTAGGCAACTCCCGATGTTGCCGGTGTGCTAGGGTCGTGCTAAAGTTGCCGAAACCTATGGAACCGTCTCACATTAATCGACCGGTCTTTAGACACGGCGCTGGCACAGCGCTGGCATGGGCCATTCTATCACAGTCTTGGTTGGGACCTCGATTCTGCACTGCACAGGAACCTCACCATGCTCAACTCTGCCTGTACCTTCAACAGGCTTTCGGGAGCTTCAATTCAAGTAAGAAATGGGATGTCCACAAAATTTAACGGATTTCACATACAGTGACGTTTGATGAGACCCCATGATATTGTAGGAATGCAATTGTTGTGAAGAATGATACGGTAGCATACGGTAGCACGTCAAAGCTTCTCAAGCGAATGCACTGCGCAAATGCAGCGTGTAGCACGCTGTTTGATTACACCCTCCTCCCGTACTTGTTATTCCAGCATAACACCTCAAATCTGGTTGTTTTATGTAAAGAGTACGAAAGGTTCCTCTATTCCTGACTGTAGAGTCGACTTTTTAATCAGATACAATTCTCTCTACCCCATCGGCAGCGAAAACCACTTGTGGCAGGCCGTCCTGGGGATTATGTAAAAGAAAACAAAAAATACTTGAGAAGTTGGTGAAGTGGTGAGCGTGACGCTTTCTCGGCACACGGTCGCAGGTTCGAAACCTGCTGCAGGCGATTCTTCTTGCGCTATGATAAACGGCCATAACTCTTTCAGAAAGAGCGTGAGCAGATAGTAAATGCAGCTCTAAACTCAGCGTTCTAAACCGAATTGAACCATATATGTTTTGTTATCAACGATTGGATCAACTTGGTATATTATCCTTATGTGCTGAACGAAAATCAAAAATTGTAATCAAAACAAAAAAGGCGGTGGGTCGATGTAGAAGCGTTGTTCTGAGATGCTTCTTTACATCATGACATAAAGCACTCACGACAAAGAAATGCACGCAAAAGAATAAGCAATCAAAAAGTTAGTGGACTCAAAACTGAACTTGTTCAGGAGAGGTGCTTGTCAACAAAAGAAACGACCAAAGCAGACCTTTTCCAAAATGGCCATTTGATCCTTGTAATGCTGCTCTTGGGTTTCACTGCCGCGTAGCTTCTCCATCAAATCGTCAATCCTTTGCTCCATTTCTTTCATTGACGATGTCTCTACGAATAGCAACCGTTAAGTCGAGCGTCTGGATTTATTAAAAGGGAAAAGGGTAGTACGTTAGAAAACACCACTACACCACACACTATCGTATAAAGTTAGTACGGTAAACTCCTGATACCATACCGACTGTATACAATACCAGCAAAAGCACCCTGGAGAGACCTACAAGAAAAACTTATACAGAGATTGTTTTTTGAAAATCTCTACTCTTGGGGCTGGGCTTGAGAATGTGTCGAAATCCTCAAAAAAGATGTGCTTCAACAAATCTTGGGCAAATGTTGTATTTAAACCCATAGAACAGACTTGAAAGAACTAGAAACATCTAAAGCAATGTATCTAACCCGTGATATGACGGAAAGCAATGACTATGACTAGGATGGATATCAAACTAATTCACTTCTTGATAACAGCGTATCGAGCTTCGTCACTTCGGCCTCCAACATTTGCTTCTTCCTGTTCGCTTCGTCGAGCTGTGCCGCTGACTTGACAAGCTGAAGAATTATTGTTTTAATCTATATGTAAGATACATGAATCAAAATGTATATACAGAGCTTCAATAACCATCCCATACAACGAACATACAGTCCACACAAAATTGTTCACCTGGACTATTCGTGTGGGCTTGAGAGGCTTAATCTTCACTACCGAAGCGGCAGTTACCTTCACTTGCGGCTATGAGATTCTTACTCTCGCCAGCATCGTACCGGGGGACGCTGAGTGGTTCGCTTTACGGTGCAGACGAGGGTACAAGGTAAAAATTCTTGATACAAAGAAATGGTACCCGCTGCAGCTCAGGTAAAAGCTTAAAGGCAGTGGGTCAGCAGAATGGACCTCTACCATATTTTGGTGGTGTTAGGTAGTAGACCCCCAAATACACCGTAGCCGCAATCCCACCCTCCATTTTATGCTCTAAGTCTTGTAATGGAGTCTCAAAACTCCACCAGCCCCGCCCACTTCCAATGAGTGGGCGCCATTGGTGGAGTTTTGAAGCGCCTTTACAGGACTTAGCGCATGAATTGGAGGGTGGGGTTGGGACTACGGTGTATTCGGGGGTCTACTACCTAACACTACCAAAATCTGACAGAGGTCCATTCTGCTGATTCACTGCCTTTAATCAAAGTCTGCCAATCATTTTCTGCAATAAGCCCAGTACACATCTTGCGTGGACAATGCCTCCAAAGCAGCTGCCATGTCTCAGCACTGAAAGAAAAAAGGGTACGTTTTGTTCGCATAGCAGAAATGCACACGATGTGTCTAGGGCGGTAGCGCGCTACCGAGCAAGCTGTCGTAACCTGTGCAACTGCACACAGCATGCGTCGCGCTGAGATGCTGTTTTTCTAACGAGGCGCTTATCTTTCGGCTGGGCCCTCTCACTGTTTCATCATCAAGAAAGCGGTGCAACAGGGACCAAAGATCTATGGTAAATGCCCAATGAAACAGTGAATCTGACGCGCAATGTGCATATTGTGTGCAGTCGCACAATTACGAGATAACTGATTCGGAGGGGTTTTTTTGAGCACAAAGTTTAGTTATTGTAAAGTCATATAACAAAGCTGTATATCAAACGAATATAGAGTTGGATTTACCTTGACTTGATTCTCCTCCAACTCTGCAGCAAAGCCGAGTCGTGCTCTTTCTCGGGATTCATCGCGCTCTTTTCTTCTACTTCTAAAATGTGCAACTAGTTACAATATCAAGCTAAACAGTGCGATGCACCAACTCCAAATCTTCTTTGTCACGATTTTCCTTCTCGAGGCGATTCATCAACTCTTTGATTTCTTCTCTGGCATCACTCAAATCCGCTCTAAGTGAATCCTCGCGCACCACTGCTTCTCTCGCTTCTGTTTCAGCCTTCGCCAAGTCTGTTTTGAGATCAGCCAGCAGAGCGTTCTTTGCTTTTTCCATCTGTAAAAATCTTCATTATTTTTAGGAAAACCGTCCTTCTCATTTTCGGCAAACTCAAATTTTCAAAACATCGTATTTTGCCAGAAGATTTTATACTTCTTTTCCGACGCGATTACAGAACACTATCATTTTCTGGCCTCTTTGTGAAGTACGGTAAGTGTACGGTAGATGGCATTTCAAAACCGCTGTAACTTTGCATAGAGGAATTATTCGACATGACTAACATATTATGCCTCATTGCATGGTACGGTAGAGGTAAGCATAGAAATTGCTGTAACTCCACTTTGAACCATTCCCTTAACTAACAATTCAGGTACGCGCGATGCAAGCCAAGTTACCTTCCTAAGCAAAATTTTTAGTGATTCTGAGATGTTGAAACTTTATCGTATACCTACCGTAACCTTACTGGAAAAGCCCTGCGAAATGAGAGAGCAATAAACTCGACATCATACCTGTTTTCGTTCATTTTCCCAATCTTCTCTGTCCAGGTTATTCTGCTCGATAATTTCATCCAATTCTTTCTTGTGCTTGATCGAGGTTTCTTGTAGTTTCTCGCTGCAAACATGATTTATATTTGTATCAACCAAAATTTCATTTACTCACAGAAGGTCCGCATTCTCCTGCGTCATGCTTCGCTCTTCTTCCATAAGCTTTTCATGGAGCTGAGTGAGTTGATTTAAGCGGTTCTCGCATTCTTTCACTAACTTCTCTCGAAGCTCCTAAGAACAATGTCTGACTCAACAGAAGCAGACAGTGGGAAAAGAAACTGACCAGTTCAGCGGTAACTTTTCGCAGCTTCTCATTGTACTCATCCCTCAGTTCCTTCTGTTTCATTCCCCATTCTTCTTCCAATCGAATTTTTTCCGCTTTCATAAGCTCTTCCTTCTCTTTAGACGCAGACTGCAGCACTTTTAGCTGTTCTGAACATTGAAACTTTTACCAGCAATTCTTTTACCAAAAATTGCGTAGAGGATTTTATAGCCGTGCTCGCAAAATTCACCGTATTCCATTTATTGCATAATTTCATGCCAATTTGACGCCTTTCATACTTTTTTCTCTCTTTTATCGTCAGTAAAACAAGCGTACTTGATATTGAAAAACTATAGCGAAACAAAAACAAAGCAAAAGAGTAGACGCGGCTGCAACGATTCAAACAAACGAAAGTCCCGCAACATCAGATATGGGATAGTGAGTAAATCAATGAGCATATGATGCTACTTAAAATGGAAACAAATTCAATAAAGTGAATCTGAAAAATAGCAGAAATTCAAAATGATCTGAAACTGATAAAATTTATAAAAATAAAGGAGGGACAAATGAAATTTACAAAAAAAAATTCCATAAATCAAGCATGATCTTAGTCTAATCAGTAAAGGCTTCAGGTAAGCTTCGAAAATTTCTATCGTAATTATCCAAATAAAAATTTCAGTGAAGCAAGAATATAAACACTAGAAACACTGCAAAAGACATCCAACTCACCTTTCAAATCGTCCACCAACAATTCTTTTTGTTTGATCTCAGTTGTTAGGCGATCAAAATTTACTCGAAGTTCTTCAATGAGCGAACGTTTCTCATTTTCCTAAATAGGAATTGTCATCTCATTGAAATTTAGAAATTCCATCCACTTCGGAAACCCACCTCAGCACGACGTCGCTCAGCGTCCCCTTCAGCCTGAGCGAGGCGCGAATTCATGGTGGCGATTTCACTTCGCAAGGATGCGAGATCGTCCAGGAGGCCGTCACGTTCTCTTAAACATATATACTGCATTTTAGTACATTAATATCTTCATAATGATAATATCCTATTTCTACATAAACAGAAATGCGCAAGCAACCAAAAGATAAAATGCATTTGCCCTTCGTTTCATAAGAGTTAGGATTTCTATAGTGGGAAAACACCTAGGATATTTTTTACAAAAAAATCAAGATATCTTCTGCAAATAATGCTCCACAATAGGTAAAATGGGTGGAGAGAGGGAGGGGGTGGGGGCTCTTGGAAGTATCACTTGTGCGGTATCCGTTGATTCCTGGCTTGGCGACTAGAAGGCGGGACTTTGCCTTGGAGCTAGGTAATAATCAGAGATCATGCGCGAGGGAGAAACGCAGACTGCGTAGCGGGCGCGAGCGGCCTTAATTAGGTCACGAAGCCCCGCCTTCCAGCCGCCAAGCCAGTTGAATTAAAGATTACCTGATGGCGCAGATCAACAGATTGTGAAGCCATTAATCGCGTATGTTTCTATATTTGATTATAGAAGTATAACACTTCAGCAAGTCTACTTTCAATGTATTGGATAAGGATAATTTTATTTTCTATTTCGAGAATATTGTAGTTGCACTTCTCAAGCGTTTTTGCAACGCTAAAATGTACGAATTATATAAATAAAACGGAGATGAATGGCTTCACCTAATTTGAAATGATTGACTAAAAATTATGAGTGCAAGTGCATAAACATTCTTCATTGGTGAGCAAAGAATGCTATAAGTGCTTATCATATGAGATTATTACAAAAAAAAAGTCTCGTCGTCCTTTGTGCAGCCATCTTTCCGACACAATCACCACTTCATTTGATGTTATGTTCCATCTAGCATTTATATGGGTCTTATATGACTTGAATACTAGTTCTTTCTTATCTCAGGTTTTTACCCGCAATAGCGTGTACTTAAAACATGCATCCTTTTCAGCTAATCTAAAACTTGGTGGAAACAGCTACAACAGAAAAGATCAACTGTTGAATCAGAAACATTAGTGAAACAGACAGAAGAATTTCAAGGTTGTTTTTTGAAAAGTAATCGCATTTGAAACTGATATCACAGAAACTGATGACAAACAGACTAAATGACTGAATATCTCTACCTTTTTGCTTCTTCCACTTGCCGCACCAATTCTTTGCACTCATTTGTTCTTTCCTTCGTTATGGTTTGATGATGGTCCAGCTGTTCACGAACGAGTCGCATTTCTTCATTATCCTACAATGCATACCTTCTTTTCACGCCCAGATATTTCAAAAGCAAAAATATAGTGACCGATTCTATTTTATCTTCAAGTGTTCTGACAGTTCCTCTCAGTTTCTGTACATTCTGCTCATGAGCGATGTTCAGCTGCCGCGATTCGTCCAACTGGAGTTGCAATTCTGAAATGATCTTTGATTATTATATGGAACTCTTAAGGTTAAGAGCAATGTTCAATAAAACTTGATTTTTAATTACTTCTATCTGGAAACTGTTTTTGAATTTCTTGCTAGGCCACTACCCGAGCGATGGTTTTTATATTTCATTTCTAGGGCCGAAATTCAGTCCAAAATATCGCCCAGATCGTACTATCTCCGTCACGGTACCGTACTCGCGCACGAAGATTACGTGGGTGAGACTCTGGTCGAAGTTTTCGACCACGAATGAAACATATGAATTGTCACCAAGACAGCGGCTTCAGTAAGACCTACTAATCTTTTACGTGAGAAGTCTAGCAGGCAGTGGCGGTCCGAGGAGGGGGTTCCCAAGAATGGGTTGCGGAATTTTTAAAATTTGATTACGTGGGTTACAAAAATGTGCAATTGACTTGTTTATTCTTGTAACTAATCAAAATAATTTTAAAAAATTTTTAAATTCAAATTAGCCTCACAAAAAATTATTTCTGAGGGCCCGCCACGCCCCTTTTTTCTAGAAATTTATGGGTTACGGGCTCGCAAATTCTGAGAAGCATCCCAAGACTTTTTTCGAGGTTATCGGTCCCCCCTCCCCCTCATCCTACAAAAACCGCGGGACCATCACTAAAGTCTAGGTCTCACATTTGCTGCTGGAAACGTGTTTATGAATGGCCTTACCTTCTTCATGATGTGTAGCTGTTTCGTGCCGTTCTTGAAGCCTGTCAATGTCAATACGAAGTTGGTTTAGCTGTTCATGAAGCGACTTATTGTCTTCGCCCAAGATGGTATTCAGATTGTTAGCCTTCAAAGAGAAAATTTCAACTCAAAATCTGATTATCGATGCGCATCACTCGCTCACCTCCTCTAGATCCTGCTTCAACTGTTGCTCTTTTGCTAGCATTTCTTCGTAATGAAGGTTTTGCTCCATAATTTCAGTTTCCTTAGCATCTACTTTAGACATATGGATCTCTACATCTTGTTTCAGCCTTGTTATACTGTCCTCAAGGGTATTTATGGTAAAATCTGAATGAAAACGCTAACCATTACATTACTTCCAGCCTAATTGTCACCTTTCTCATCGACGACTTTCTTGGCTGCGGAGTGTTCAGCTTTTACATTGCGAAGTTGCTCACGAAGATTTTCCACCTCTGTGTTTAGTCGATCTATCTCCACTTGCATTCTGTTCTGCCGCGCACGTTCCTTAAATATTTGTGGATAAATTTATTCTAAGCATTTAAGTTTCATGGCTTCAGTTGAAAAGTAATTGAGCTTCTCAAGAAAAAATTTTACTGCTGCTATATAATGCACCTTTTCCAAAGGCACCATTACGTTGGATGACAAGCAACTTTTTCTACAATTTATAAAAATTCCCTATGCCGACATCTTCCAAAAATCTACATTTCTCCATACTAAAATCCTTCAAGACTTCCGAACATATGGAGAAATGGGGGGAAGGGGGCAATCGCGATGCGGCTTCCACAACTGTGAAAATATCTGAAGCAATTCTTAGTCTTGATAGTCGCAAGCTCTTCGTTAGATTATGGGCAGCATGTTCATGAACTCCTTGGTTATTACCAAGTGATATCCAAGGATTATTGCGCAGAAAATCCTTTAAATGAAATAGGAAGAGAATTCGTTTGTGAGTAACCAACGTGAATGCATATGCGTATATTCCACCAAGGCTTGGAATCGAAACGATGGGACAACGAAAGTCGATACCAATTTATGCCTTCCCTGAATGAAGCTGATGCGTGGAAATTCTATATGCTGAAGTTTGTGCAGAAGTCTTCAATACTGCAAAGCTCAGGCATAAAAAACCGACGCATCACTAGAGATTTACCACAAAATCACTACTATTTACGCCGACGTGCCCTATTCTAGCAATAAAAGCAAAAAATCAAATCCCTCAATCTTCTTTTATTCTCTAGGCGCCTATCGAAGATTTAGGAACTGTCCAATGCCAAAAAGTTCCCGTTCCATTTTTATTCTAACTCACTTCTTGTTATCTGTGCGGGACTCTCATAAGCGCGTCATAGCATTAAGTTAGCAGAAATACTTAATACCAGCAGTATAAGACACAAAGCAATGTAAAGATTAGAAGTAACGAAACCAAAAGAATCCTCGTGTAAGAGAAGCCAAGCTAAAAGCGGTTCTCGCTGCAAGAACAATGCAAGGAAGAAAAAACCAGAGCGGATATGGGCATGCACACACGTTTGCTCGCTATTGAAAAAATCTAACAATAAGAATGGCGTGCAATAGGCGCGGAAAATGGATATATGGCAAATCCCGCTCAACTAGCATGTTGTCCTAATTCCAAAACAAATAGAAGTATGTGGGAAGACTGTAAAATGATATACTCTTTGTTCTCACAAATTTTCCATAGTACAACTTCTCCAGAGGGCAAAAACTCTCCTAGGTTGATAAGCTGGTGATTTACAAATTTGTCATTTTCGTAAAATCTACATGTGCAGTGACAACACAGCTTGGCACAAACCTCGCTCAGCCTGTCTTCTAGCTCAGCCTCATGCATCTTGTCTCGAGAAGCCAGCTCATCACGATGGTTCGTCATGAGACCCTCGATGAATTCTTTGTGAGTCCTGCAACAGAATTCCTTGTATAATGTGAGGTGGTGAGAACAAATTCAGATCTCACAGAAAGTCCGCCTATTTTTGTCAAACCATTCAATTTTATAGGCATTTGCGTTGAGCAAGATTTAGGAGTTTGGCAGTGAATAGAGAAAATGAGGCACCTTTTTTGGTACGCGATGTTTCAGAATAAGCATCATTGTGGATTATTTAGACACGAAATTCTAATAAGAACGAAAAAACAAACGAGAACAGGATGAAAATGGTATGAAAGATTTGAAATAGGATTATTCTCTAAAAGTGATCACTGACCTATGCGTAGCCGTGATGGTATTCTGCAATGTCGTCATCATTGTCTCTTTCATTTCTTTTTCTTGTTCCATAGCCTGTAGACGTTCCGCTGTTCGTCGCAGCTCGTGCTCGATTGTTGACAGTTTTGACTCTCTAAAAACGCAATTTTGCTTCAGGATGCTAACCTACCACGATTTACCTTTCAGATATTTCCTCATCTTTCAGCTTATCACGATCGCGGCGAGATTTCTTCTCCTTTTCATGAGCTTCTAGTTGTCTCTTCAAGCGATTCACCTCCAATTCTGCAGCCTCTACCCTAAAGTTTTCAAAAAAATGTTCAGTGATCACCAAACCATGTTAATGACAAGTAAATCTCCCCTTTCTCCCCTCCCCCCCCCCTCGCCCTTAACAAGCGAAATAACAAAAAATTTTCCCATCCCTACTTCTGCTTCTCTCACTAGCATTTTTGTGGGAGTTTCTTCTATTGTCTTTGGTGTTTTTTCTAAGATGTAGATTTAAGAAAATAGCTTGAGGAAGCTGACATGTCCGTTTTAATCGCATCTGGTTTTTACCGAAATGTTAAGTTTAAGATAGATATCCAGGAAAATCATACGAAAACGTTTTCAGACCTCTTTGAAACAGTACACAATATAACACCACTAGGATTCTTTGCTCAAAAGAACTCTTACCATTTCTTTCCATTAGAATGTGCCTTTGAATGGGCCGTAACGGATCCATTGAAAGCAAACATTGATGCTGATAATGAGACCTAATAGTCACACTAGCTAATAAGAAACCTTTTTCTACAGACGAAAATCTTTTTTAAGACTTGACTTGCAATGAAAAATTGTCATGGAGCGAAAACAGGAGAAGATTGAAGAATTTTTTTTGCAAAGAAAACAAAGTCGTGCGTTTTGTTGGTTGCTATCCTTATCATCACAGTACGAAGGGTTACTGACTGTTTCTATCACAGTAAACAAACAACTGATCCTGATTGCTCAGAAAAAGATTTTTAGGTTTTTTGATTAACAGTAAAGTCCTACGGTTCTCCGAAATTAGTGGAGAGCCTGTAAAAATTTCTACTATTCCCACAATTACTTGCAAGGAAAAAACTTCAAGCACAAATATATAAAATGGACCTACCGATCCCAACTTAAAAGTAATATCTCCAAATTCCTGAACAATAAAATTCTATTCTGTTTTCATTTTTGGTTACAGTGGGAAATTACTCATTTATCAGCAATCTAATTTATTAAAGACTAATAAGGAGCAACAGTCAAGAAGAACAATAGCAATGTGGATATTCGCTAACTCAACCTCTCTCCTATACGTAATTTTTTTTCTATTTTTTCCTCTTTTTAGTGTCAATTTATCTACCCTCACTACTAATGAATACCGGGAAAATCGTATAATCAGTCTCACCTCTGTTGAGTAGGATCGAAACTGAACTGGGTACCTTATTTTTTTTTCTTGGAAAATCCTGTGCCCAGCGATTCCGAAAATTATGGGAAACTGCAAAATTCTCACTTTGAATCAGCTTCTCTCAGCTCTGCAGCTTTGGAAGACAGCACAGATCGAATTTTTCTCATGGCGTCATTGGCAGTATGAGGAGTGGCTGAAACAAGATTTGCAAATATTCAAAATAGAAAAAAATGGAGACTAGCAAAAGAACTAAATTTACCTGGACTTTCACTTCGCGTACGTAACCGAATCGGAGCCGAACTCAGTTCAGACATGTTACAAATTCGAGATATGGCATTCTCAATGTCTTCACATTGTTCTTTCGTCGTACGCAGCTCATCCTGTAGTTTTTGTAGCTGTCGAGTCTTATCCATAAGCTGCTTCTCTGTCTGAAACTCTACAACTCATGAAAAAAAGTAGTAAAGTTGTAAAAGAATTCACCTCAATCTGACTCGTTGATAACGCTTCGTACTTTGCCATCACTTCTTCCAACACTTCATCTTTTTCCTTTGCCATTTTGTCCCGTAATTCGTTGTTCTGCAACATGTCACTCAAGCATTCTATGATTCGATAGAAAAAGACTAAAACCTTGAATTCTGCATGTCGTATCGCCTTCTTCATCATCGCTGCACATCGAGTAAATTCCGTAAGTTGTTTATCCAGATCGCTAGCTGTACTAGTGTGCAGCTCTCGCACCTAAGCAACCAACATGGACGATGTCAATAAAAGTGGGTTACCCACAACATATTGGATACCAAGTTAAAACATAGTTTCTTGCACCAGTTATCAAGAAAAATTTGTATAATTATGATTTTTGATTTGAACAAAATCAAAAATTGAAGTATTGATTACTACTGCACATAGCATCCCGTCAGAACGAATTTTTAGTCAGAAGATCAGATTCGAATCTACAGCATTTCATTGAATCTTCAGCTTTTTAGTGATCAAAACTATAAAAATACGAACAGAGCTCTTTGTTTAGCTTATATCGGTGCAAAATGCCAACAATTTTCCGTTATGAGTACTTCAAAAACTGCGGGTTTCATTCCTTCAAGATTATCAGAATTCAAATACACGAGTCCACATTTTTCCAAGAAAATTATGCAGGACTTGTGTTCCAGTTCAGTGCGGGGAGAAAAGCCAAGTGAAATGATTTTTTTTAGCATTCTTTGAACAGAAAATCACTAGTCTGCAATAATATACAAGGTTGATAAATCAAGAAGTCTGAAAATAATGAAACCACTACGCTCAACAAATTTGGACCTGTTGCGTGCATCAAATTCCTTACCATTTTTATTAATTAGCCGTTAGCAAATACTTCTCAAAGTTTGAGATCTACTGCAAACCTCATGTGAGTTCCGCAGTAAGCAAACTGACTTAATGATTCACCTTAAGGCCTGGGGTGTGATGATTCATAGCTGGGCTAGCTGTGGACTTCGTTGCAAGTTGTCTGCGACTAACACCACATTCAGCACAATTGCTCCGAAAGTTAATAAAGGGCCTAGGACAGCTAATTCCACACATTCGACTTATGACCTACGCTGTCGGCACAAGGGCTCGGCATGGCTAGATGAAAATGGAAAAAAACGAAGTCCCCTTTTGGGAATTTGTACGAAGCCCCTTTGACCCTCAACCAAATTTCCTCTAAAAACCTGAAAAATTCCCCAAAATCCCCCAAAAAACGAAATGTCGACTAAAAAAACGTCGCCTCGCTAAGTCACCAATTTTGCGTGTCTCTTCGGTCACAAAAACGAAACCCCCTTTGCTTTTCGTCCCAAAAACGATATCCAGCTCGCTTGTAAGCCACCTCGTGCCGAGCTCTGGTCGGCACCTACCAACTTCTACTTTTTCTTTACACACAGGCATCTTCCGCGTCGGGTACAAAAGTTGCTTCATTTCCCACACCTGCTAAGTCCTTTGATGCAACTATGCGTCGAGAACATATCTATCTTTTCGAAACCAAATAAAACTTTTACCCTTCTGCACCATTCAAACTGGGTCACGAGTGTCATTCCGAATTTTACATTCGTTCGCCTAGATGTCTAACTGGGCAGATCTAGCTGTGCAACAACCCAGAATTATTTTCAACTTGTAGAAAAGATGACAGGCAGTTTATGAACTTTGAACGCAAAAATATGACTTAGAAATGTTCACTGCACATTCTTCAATGCATGACAGTTTTTATTATTCGCGAGCGTGCGTGACTTTTTCTGAGATTGTAACTTCGATAGCAGTCCGGAAATGATTTGAACACTTTTTTTATCTACACTCTGTCTAGTGTAATCTTTCGCAAAGAAAAAAACTTTTCGTCGAGTATTTTCTACAGTCTTTCTCTGTCGTTCATTCCAAAGATAAACCAAATATGATGTTGTGACTTATTACGTAACTTCTTGATTTTGGAATTTTACCTAGTGAATTTAGCATGAAAGAAGCGCAATTACATGTCTTAAAAATTTTGAGGGACAAGTTTTGACCGTACAAAACAATCTAGAATTACTTCGAATTATTTCATTTCGAATTTTTGTAAACAGTCATCTTTCAAACACTTTAGTAAGCGAAAAAACTTCAATCAAAACAAAAGTTGCCAGGAGAAAATCAGTTTTTCAATTATAACAAAAGAGTAGATTTCTAATTTTACTAGATTACACGAACTAAAATAGTTTACTTAAATGAAGTATAACAATGTACCTTTCGTTTAACAGCTGTAAACGCTTTCCAAAGCTCGATTAGCTGACGATGTTGTTGTTCGACTTGATTTCGATATCGCTGAAACAAGATTCGAATCAAAAAAGAAAAAAAGCGTGAAAAAACCCAGTTTCAAGTTCTAGTACATGGTATATAGTACAAGGAAATACGCTAGTGTGTGCGAAGTATGCGGCGTAAATGACCAGTACTACGATCGTAAATATAAGGACAATGGAGATGAATGATGCCTCTCACAAACACGAATAGTGCTCCAACAATGGCGCACACTTGATGTAAGCGGACACTCAAACAAGCTGCTAGTTACAAGTGAAGTGACCATGTCAATGTACCTTCCTTCCTTTCCTGCTTCCTGTTTCAAAGCTTGCTCGAACATATTGTATCATATTGCCCTCTTTCCTTTAGTATAAGAAAGAGAATTAGTTGATTGTGTAATATATTTTATAAAGGCAAACGGATATACCAGAAAAAAAAGGATACTGACACGATGACGTTCCGAATCAGATCATTGCCTGGATACCCACTAAGAATGTAATTCAGTCGAAGTGAGCTTTCCACAAAATCAAAAATTTTTTGCAAAACAGTAAAAACTGATTTCCGGTTTTTTTGATTTGCTGTGCCCCTCCGGCATCGAGTTTTGAGCGTTTTCTTTTTGTTGTTGAAAAGCCGAAAGCGCGAATAGTAAAAAATACAGAAATGGTCAAATGGGCCAGCGTTGGAATGTAGTACACTCTACGCAATGAACTGTTTACTCTAATAAACTCATAATTTAAAACATTTGTATGTTGGAGAGACCGTGATAACTTCTTCCGGATCTTGTGCTGATTTTTTGCTTCGAAGAAAAACCCGTAACCCGGCGTTTGAAGAAGTACAGCAGATACAAAGATACATGATATAGAAATCAACTGGAAACACACTGACTAAAAACAAATTCCTTGTCAATCAATGTGGGAACTTTCTAAGTACATCACATCTTTTTTTAAATTTACATCACAGTTATCGCTATTTTTCCCAGAGTAAATTACCACATTTACAACTGCAACATCTTCAAAGTATTGTTGTTGAGCATCCGATAAATTCAGTCGTGGGAAACGAAAAGGAAGGACTTCGTTCAAAAAAGCCTGGGCACTAGCGCTTCTTTTACAGACGACCCTGCTTGAGAGACCTCGGAGGTTGCTCAAGCGGTAGTTCATGTTCATTCGTAAGCGAAATATTTAACTACGAACTCTCGCCCACTAACGTACCCGGGACGCGATTCGTCAGCAAAAAGTATGGCAGTGGGCAAAGTTTGAACCATATTTTTGGCCACAAATGGAACACATGCGCTACCGCTTGAGCTGCCTAAGTTAAGGTTTTTCAGTTTCCACATGAAGAACCAGACAACCAGACTTCTCTAGATACTGTCTTCAAGGTGCCTAGGATCAGCGCATTCGAGGTAGATTCTGACAGTACATACATATGTTGTGCAAAAAATGATCGGTCAAGTATGCAAACAAAGATAAAGATGGTGATAACTCTGTAGAACAGCAATATCACATGTAAACAAAGCATGGTAAGATGGCTGATAAGCGGATAACTTTTGGTAAGGAGGATTACGCAGTAGCACTCCTGCTGGAAGAAAGTGTAAACACTGCAATAATTCAAAAAACACTTCCATTTTTGGAAAATATGATAATAATTGCATAGCAAGGTGTTAATGAGATGTAGTATTAATACAATGACTTTGAAAAGTAGGATATGTGCAAGCTTACCGTATTTTCTGTTTTGAAACGATCTCGATCGTCGCGTTGGCTCTGTTCCAAATGTTCAAGAGCTCTTGTAAGCTCTACAACGTCTTGTCTGAGGTTATCGTTAGCCGCCAACGCAGCATCGTTCTCTTCGCGGAGCATGTCATTAATCTCCTCTAGAGTATTGTTTCTGAAAAATATAAACGATATAATTCACATTTGGAAGGTATTCTAAACCATTGATTACTTCTTTAACAAATTTGGAGGAAAAATCAAAAAAAATTCGGAAATTTCCTAAAATAAACTCACTTGAACAACTCGCTCTTCAATCTCGAGAAAAGCTCATCGATACTCTGTTGATCTTCCATATTCAAGTGTTCGTCTGAATACATAAGCCTAGGTGAAGAGCGAAATCGAGGAGAATATACATGCCGGACGTCGACGGAGGATGACCTAGATAGATGCTTCTTTGATTGCATTCCTTCGCAAAGCTATTATAAACTGTATATTTATCTTGAAGACTTTCTTGGGCTAACATAGGATTAACACGACATTGCTGGCTTATATCGTGGCATCACAATATTTACATAAATCGTATTTCAGAAAATTGACACGAAAGCTATTTAGAGAGCAGTGGACCAGCAATAACAACATAATCTCACTTCTTTTTCTGAACCACGCTCATAACTTGCGAAGAATGAAGGAAAGGACGACGACTTTATTTTTGGCAAAAAAGAGGGTACGAATGACAAGAAATCTAGTGTGACTCAGGAAAGACATTCTGTGATTTCTTTGCTCTTTTTTGAGCAAATATTTACTGCTGTATGTTTCAGGTCAAGAGTTTTTCTTTACAGAGGGCAATGTGGTTCAAAAACAGTGATCAAAAGCAGTGTAAAGGCAGACAACAGTTTGTACGGACTCCTATTACAAGATGAAAAATGAATGGAAAGCCTTGGATGATCCGATATCCAAGCGGCAGCTCATATGACTGAGTCGTTGCTGAGATATTTAGTTCTAAACTCTCGCCCATACCGTATCCAGCGTACCGTAACTGAGGATGCCCAGTGATTAGCTCGGGAAAGCACAATTTGGAAGGAGTTCTGTATTTGATGTTTGGTCACAAATTGATGATATGCGCTGACACTTGTGCGATTGCTTAGTTAGGGCTCCAATCATATCGATAAAAAAACCCATCTACCATACCTTCTGGACACCGTCTTCAAATAACTACCAAAGAAAATTGAAGTAGTTAATGAGCTATGTTTCATTCTTTGTAGCTAATGAAGCAGCTATCTGTGCATTTCGTACCCTACCGCGGTGCGGTTTTATCGCTTTTGCGGGGAGAGAGAATGTGAAATTTATAGACGCAGACAATACCGCGCACGCAAGCCACGCCGCAACAGGCTGTGCCTGCATACGTAGGTATTTTCCTACACGAATATTCAGTTTTGGTCAACAGAAAGGTACAAAGTATTCGTAGTTACTAGCCGATGGGAGATGTTGCAATTCCAGAACTTTGGCGAGTACGGCAAGGCTACTTTTTGTAGCGCAGCGCGCGCAGGACACAGTCAAGGCTGGTTGCCATTGTATATGTACTATTAACTTTGATGATGGAAGACTACTATGGTCAAAAAACGATGCCGTAGTTTCAAAAAGAGGACCAGTTCGAACAACTTTCAAAAGATGAATGACCACTGAAGAGATCTTTACGGCAAACATCCAATGCACGCGTATTTGTAATTTATTGCGTCGTAGATTATGATCAGAGAAAAAGTTGATGTTATGAAAATATGCAAGAAATGCCTGGAATAGATGTCTAATGCTCATCTACGACATAAATGGAGTGTTTAGGCATCATGGCTGTGCTCAGCACTTGACCGGAAGTTCCGCTGGATAACGAGAGAACAAACCTCCCGCAGCTCTTTATGGAAAGTTTCCGTTTTCAATCAATCTTTCGTCATAGGCCTGTGGAAGTTCCCATTTGAAGCTTGAACTTTTGCGGTAAACAAAACCTCTTGATACCGCTGCAAAGCTATCTTATTCTGCGGTCAGTGAGTTGCCTGTTACAGGTACTGATTGGAGAATACCATCAAAGCCCAACAGCTCATATGATTCACTTGTGACCAGGATATTCCACTACAAAACCTTGCCCGGTATTGTACTCTAGGATGCTGATTGGTCCGCGCAGACAGAATCACTGTTTGTGCGAAAATCTCAAGTTGACTCGTCCGAGCAATCACATGAGCTGTTGCTAGGATAACGGCTTAATAAGTCCTCTCAAGCAACATCCACCTAAAATTCCGTATGGTAGATATTATGGCCGATCGAGGGTGGAGGGCACCGGGTGGGGAAGAAACAGAGGAGGGGGACATTTTCTCCAAAAATGGGTAGCAAAATTCTTGAAAGAAGCCTACCTATAAAGTGTGCGATTAAGTTGCTTTTACTCGAAAATAATTATGTCTTGTAATTTTCTAGAAAATTTAAATCAATCTGAGAGACAATTCTTCGGGGCCTGGCTGCGCTAAGGCTATAGGCCTGCAAAAATATGAAAAGTATCCCAAAAACTTTCTCGGAAGGCGTGGCTGATGTTGCGCCCATCCATACAAAAGAAAGATTCGCCGCCTCTCGCCCCCCCCCCCCAACCAATTTCCGGATCGTACCATATTAGATTTGCTTGAAAACTAACTTTAAATCATTTTCATGATTCCAATAGACATTTTATGAAGAATTCAGGCGCTGCAAACGCATCACTTCAATGAACGTTTGTTCGGAACCCCGAATATGTAAAATATAGACAGAATATGTGAAACTCACATAGCTACAGAACTTGCAGGCTGATCAAGTCGTGTAAGGCTTTTATTTCTTGAATGTCGAGCATAGGTGCTTCGGCTGTGATATCGTGGAGAGGTATGGACCGGTTCGATGTAGTCAATGTATGGTGACGAGGCCATTTCGATAGTCAACTGTGGCAGTGAGGAGGCAAGTGGTGTAGGTGAGATGAGCTGCGCCGAGTCCTTCGCCGTACGCTGTCGGAACTTTTGGATCTGCAAAAATTTCAATGTCGCGATTAGTGCTCATGGTCAAACAAGGACATTCTACTTATTGTGGCAGGAGGTGCTCAATCGCCGACACCGAATTTTGTAGGTAGGGCCTAGGCAAGTTTTACCTGGGATTCTCATGTAACTGGTGATCAAAGGTCTTAGCTAAGCCATTGTCTAAGCGGCAGCTCGTCTAATTCATTCGTTGCCAAGAAATTCAACTGCAAACTCTCGCCCAATACCGTACTCAAGGAGGCGACGCTCGGAAAGACTACGGTACTGGGCGAGAATCTAAGGTAGATCTCCCAAGGAAAACGAATCATGAGCTGCCGTATGGGCGATGGCTTAGACAAGACCTTTCAGCCAGTATTCACACAGAGCGCCAAGCTATTGTCACATTCACGTAGCCACTGCTTTGAACCATAAATTTTAAATAAATTGAAACAAGACCTACAAATTTTCTGCAATTCATGAATAACAAAGGATGAACAAGGATTCAGCAGATATGTTACAACAACTGCTGAAAAATGTCAAAAATAATAAACATCATGTAGTTTGTGTACCTATGCGGCAGCTGCACAAATGTGGCAAAAAATAACTTCCAGAAGTGGGGACAATATAACAAAGGGTGAGGTTAGGCCCATTCTTACCAGAACTTTTAGGAGGATTTCGAACAAATACAAAGATCCAAACCCGTCCCTATATAATCAGTAATCCGAATATCTGCAATCTTTCCGGGGTAAACTTTTTCTAGGTGCAAGATTTTTGTAAAGCTCATATCGAATTATTTACAAATATGGAAAAGACTCTAGCTGCAAGCATTGAGATATCAGATTTTAAACGACACTCCTCGAAAAATCATGGCACTCATGACTGGATTATAAACAACAAGAAAGAAAGGTGCCAAAAAATGCTCAGGTTTCTCATATTGTGTTGGTTAATATCATAAACTAAAATAGAAAAGGAAACCTTTTAAGAGCCATCAATTGAAATGGAAAGGCGAAACAGTCTGATGGCATTGCAAATTATGTGCACTGACGAAAAGAATGTTAGAGCTGAACACTAAACGATCAATAACTCGACTACGGTATGAAATTACTGGATGAGATGTATAGCAAAATAATAAACTTCAAATAATTGAATCATTGAATTAATAATTGAAACCAATGAATTAGAAAAAACAAGTTTGTGGATAATGTTCTACAAACAAAGAGCACTCGAATAGGTAGCATTTTGTGTCGACAATAAAGAGAGAGGAAATACAAAATTGACTTATTGTTAGTAAATGCAGTTAATCACATTTCTGGGAAGTGTAAAGCATTTTCCTACGTCAAACTAAATCCAAATTTGTGCAAATTTGAGAAATCGTCTATGGTGCAAGAAGTGCGGTCCTTTTAAAGGGGAAAATAACAATCTAGAACAATTCAAACCAGCTATAAACTGTCTCAAAGACCATACATAAGAATAGTGCGAAACATCGAATTCATATGTCATTTTACATTCGAATTCGATCCGTTTTCGATTTGAATTGAAAGTTGTAGAAAAAAATATATGTGATGAATTTCTCAAACGACCCCGTCACCAACAAAATTTTTCTAACAAAGCTCACTATGTATCTTGCTTAAACTTTCCTGATAAGATCAATTTTTCTATTAAAAAAATCATGATCTCAGGAGCCGTCAAAATGACGAAAACATTATTTAGCAGGGCTCGGCACTAGCTCGCACCAGGGAAATTTCAAAACGACGTCCTCTTCGATTTTGAAAATTTCGTACGAAGTTCCCATTGACCCTAAACCCAATACGTAAAAAACCCTAAAAAAGAGACATCGACTCAAAAAAATCGCAATTTTTTGTATGTTCAGGCCACAAAAACGATAATCCTATTGTTTTTTGTCCCAATAACGATATCCAGCTTGGCCCGGTGCCGGCTGGGCCGAGCCCTGATATTTAGACATATTTTGGCGCATTATGATAGACCGAAAATCAAGGTCTTTACAAAGATCTCACCTTGACAGAAACTGTATGTTCGATTCTGGGAAGTTCCATAGCAACAAAAATAGAAAACTATAATAGAAGTTCGCTCATCATGCCATCTGGCAGGGGATTTTTTCTAGTGACACGTCCAGTCAATAGTTCTCTTTCGCCAAATGTTGCGCGTAAAGCGATGTGTTTGAAAAGCGATCATCTGCACGGCGTGAAATAACATGCACTTTTTCAACACAGTACGAGATTGAACTGGTCCAGTGTCATTCATCGATAGATAGGCCCCTATCTGTGTTTTGCTTGTAGTAACAAGGAGAATCGTAAAAACGAATGTGTCATAGTTATTTACTTCAGTCTGGCAGTGAAAAAAAAGAATGCAATTTATCGTGAAGTGCGTGGCAATTTGTCACTACTGCCAGAGAACAAACGCAAAAGATTTTGCACCCGGCACGTCTAAACTGAGACAATAAACGTATAGAAGGCGTTTTCTCATAGTGCAAACCTCAAAAGCTGCAAATCGACATAGTTTAGCACAGCTACAAGGCGAAGTTACTTTTGAGCCAAAACAAAATCTTCTCTCCATATTCAAAAATCATATTCTGAATGAATTCATATTCTTGTGCTGAAAACATCCAGTAAAGATTTTACTGACAAAATTTACTATACATTTGATTATAAGCAAAACCCAGTAATAGACATACTACGAAAATCCAATCAACTTTGTTTTTTTTTTGAGAATATCTTGGGCAGATCGAACGTCTCCAGAAAATTTTGAAAAAATTTTTTCAAAAACGTAGAATAATTATTTAGAAAGACACAGATGAAAATGTTTGTTGTTTCGTTTCTTCCATTATCACAATTTTATGGAACTTATCCAAAACCGATTTTCCTAGAAGGAGTGGATCACATAACGTGTATGTTGACAGCACCAAGCTTTACACATTCTTATCTTAGAATTTTTACGGCCCAATGTAGTACTTGCAAGATTTCAAAGCCTCCGTTCTTCGAGGTGGATCTTCGCAAGATTACATTAAAGCTTTGTTTCAAGCATAGTTACAAAGAGCATAGATTGCTTTTGACGATGAAAAAAATTATTATTTTTAGAAAAGAAAGAGTATTCTAGTTCGCTCCAAATTCCTTTATGATTTCAAATGAAAAAAGCCCTCTTTCACATTAGGAGCGATTTGTAAAAATTCGAAATTCTAGAACGCTTTTTTTCCACATCTTGTAACAAGTGAAACATTACTACCAGTTTTCTTTTCTGTTCACGATGACTGATTGCAATCTATTTAATGATACAGAATTGTAGGAGTTCGGGTATGTGCTCGATGTGCTTTTTTTTGAGTTCATGCAAAAATACGCCAAATATGTAATTCATCCTTCTCTGTCAGCCATATTCAACTGGAAAGAAATTCTAAATTTTGAAAATCCGAGGCATCACCTCAAGATATAATCGCCCATTAGTGCGAGACTTTCATGTTATCGCAACATTTACGCTCAAAAAAAAGTTTCCACACCTCTGGCACGCGTAACACTTGCCTAAAATGCCGTAGCGCCACATTTTTAGCAAAACGTTAACAGAACTGCACCAAAAAAGGAATCTGATTTGACGTCGCTCTTTCGCACATACATAGGACAAACAGCAGAAATGCCATTCATCTACGTGCACTATATTTGGATTATTCTACACTCCGTACAGTAGAAAAAACAACCAGAATCAAATTTTCTAGCATCGTTGTAACCCGTTTTTGCTAAGCCGTCCGTGAATTTGTTTGCATAAAATTTACATCTCTGGAACGCTGACCATTATACTTATTTTGGCCGGCGCATACGCGCAGCTGTTGCAGTCTCTTGTATTCTTTTCGCAACATGATGTGGAAGAAAAAAGAAATTTGCTGGAATAATCTGGAGCCCCAGATGTTCAAAGAAGTTTCTGCAAGACATTTATCTAATATATAAAGAATCGTAAGCGCAATTCAAAAATGTGCAAATAGCGGGAAACCGCGTGGCGATCCCGCAGCGAACGCTCTTCCAAATAGCACCTTTAGATTACTGGTTCACTAGTTTAAGGATAAGTTCTGATTGTTGACAAGCAGGGGAAAATGAAAAACTGCTATGAAATGTTATGCAATTTGGAAATGGAGGAAATTTTGTATGTAAGGATTAGCTGAACAGGAGCAGGTGCAAGGAACAGGGGTAAGAACTTTTGAACTAGGCGATGACCTTGGACAGAAAAAAAGTCTCATAGTGATGATTACTAACAAAACAGCTAACAAAACAGCAAAAAGAAAAAAGCTCCTGAAATCTTAAAATTCACGAAAAAAGCAAAGTTTTTGTGTCTTAATGGATCGCTGCACAGGAGCAAGTGCAACCTATGTCTATGGTTTCCATGGGGATTAGCGCTAATTAAGATCCGTGCAAGTGCAATCAAATATCATAACGGCTGCAAAAGAGCTTAGTACCCAATCTTATCTATAAGTAATTCAACGCATTATTGTCATTCAGTGGCGGTTCCACAATATCTTTATCGTATTGGGTGGAAGGGAGGAGAGGATGGGGGATGGCGGGGGGGAGGTGGGGGAGATAGCAATTGTCCACATATCTGGAGACGCGTTCCGCTAATCACGCCTCTTACGTCTGTTAGATAGTTTTCTGGGACTCGTCAGCTTTTCAAATGGAATAAAATTTTGAGGAAAGAGGAAGCGTGCGCGATCCCCAGGAAGAAATTTCCTTCAAAGAGCTAGTGACAGTCCCAGAACATTCACCGAAATTGTTATAAAATTATGAAGAAAGCCGCAAGCAAAATTTTTTGACACATGTAGACCACCTTGAAAATTTTGTGCTCTTTTGTCGCCCCTCCGCTCTGGGTCCGTCACTGCTACCATTCTGCGTTGAACTATGAAAAAATCGTCCGGGTTAAAATGGCCAGCGAATTGCATAACATTCCATTCGCGAAAACAAGTTTTCAGTTTTGTATGCAAAACCCCAAAATCAACAAATGCCGAATTGCACGCATCAAAAGTGCCATTAAACCTTTTTTTTAGTTCTGCTCTCAGATTTATCGAATATTTCTCGCAAAACTATGCAGCAGATTTTACAATTTTACAGAATTGTACACAGGAACAAATCTACAAGTGCATTTTAGTGCAGCGAGTTCTTATAAATGTATGAGGCAAAACCTCTGACAGGAATGAAAAGCCTCTTATACTATAGATGGCTAAAAAGTGACAGTATATCACGGACGTAGGTTCTAAGAAAACAACTGACGCACATGACAGATGGCCAGATAAACGAAAGCGAATAGCGGGAAGGTAAAACTGAGACAAGGGTTTTGAATGTGGTTTGAAGGATAGGAATAGTAAAGAAAATAATCCTGATTATATTTGCAATTTCAATGAAGAGGGTTGAATACTATAAAACATCTTGCACAGATATTCTTAGACCACATACATCGTCAGAAATTATTTTTGCACCTTGATACAACGACTTAATCGCTGCAGGACCGGGACCTGCCACCAGCGGCACGTATCAAGCTTGATATCGTTTCTGGGACAAAAAGCAAAAGGGTATTGCTTTTGTGGCCCAAAATATACAAAAATTGCGACGTTTTTAAAGCCGATTCCGTTTTTTGGGGGTTTTTTACGTTTACAATTCAGAATTAAAGGCGATTTGGTACGAAATTCTAAAAATCAGAGAGAACTTCGTTCAAACTCCTTGGTGCCAGCTCGTGCCAAGCTCCGTACAGGACCCAGGAGGTTCAAAAATTTCTAAGAAACATTACAAAAATCATAAACGTGAGAAAATTTTGTTTTTTGAAGCTATAAATTTTCATTTCCTTTCATCACTTTATCTTTGTAACATGCCCGCTTTCGTTCCCACCATTTTGTCGATGACAACCATATTTACGCGCAATCAAAACGCAACAAAGGCGAATCGTTCACAAAAGCAACAAACGCAATCTCCTAACATCAAAAAAAATCTCGCAAGAAAAACGCGTGAAAACAATGAAAGCGAAACTTTTTGCAAGCAGACAGAGAATCGCAAAAAAAGATTGCGAACGTGATGCGCAATCCGTTTTCGATTTACGTGAGTAGCGAGCAAAATCGTATCGGTTGTAAACCTTGCACATAGACACCTTTTATACAAAAGCAAAAAACAGAAATGATAACGCAGTCTAATATTTTCAAAAGGTTGTAAAAGGTGAAGATAAGACGCATACTAACCTGCTCGGTCAAACCCTGAATGATGTCTCGATTTCTTCGGTTTTCCTGAACCCCAGCATCCAATCGTGTCCGACAGTATGACAGCTCCTCCGTTACCTTTGCCACATCTATAAACAATTAGACTAAAAGTCGTGCTCACTCATGGTCACTGTGTGCAACTGCACCACTTTTTGAATCTGCGGCGTAGCGGGACAACGGGAGTAAAAACACAGTCATAAACGAGTATCTTACGTTGGTCCATAAGTCCTACACCAAAAATTTCAATTCGTAATATTTTCAACAAGTTCGCTCGATTCGAAATAGCTCAAAAATGTGCACTTTTCGAATGTGCTTACAAAACATCATACTGACGTATTGGGGAGATACAAGCTGATAAACAGAAGTGGTCAGGCCGATGTTTTCAGATCCTAATCATAAAATGTGCTAAAATGTCCAAAAAAATGTGATTTACTTTGATTGTAGTTTCAAAATTTACTCTTTCTTACTTACAGGATATCGCGGTTATCGGTACCCACAAATGATAGTGATTTTCAAGTATTTTTAGTCGATAATCCACTGTTACTCCTTTAAAATTTTTGATATGTTACAAAAAATATATATAATTGATTGAAAAGTTCTCCAAGTTCTGTTTTTGAAATAAACTCTCTATGATTTAAAGCGCGAGGCTTATCTACAAATCCAATAAAACGAGACGTTAGAAATATCTAATTATCTATCTATCTAATATATAGAGAATCGTTAGCTCAATTCAAAAATCTTCCAATGCGGGAAATCGCGGCAGATTCCGAAGCGAACGCTCTTCCAAATAGCACCTTTATATTACTGGCTCACTAGGGAACATTGCAGAAAGTAGGATAAAAGATTTATAGCTACTGCTTATCCAAATGCAAAAATAGTGCAACTACAGAAGCAAAAAATACGACCTATGGGTGAGGAGAACCAAATTTAAACACTTGGGAAATATAAAAAAAAAAGAAAAGACGTAGATCAGGAGAACCTACCTTCACTGCTGCCGTGTCGACTTGACATTTGTTCGAATTCTTCTCTCAATTCCACCTTCGCCTTGCTGTGCTATTCATCTGAAACGAGGCGAAGCGATGTTGGATGCACACGACCGAACGACGACGACGTGCGCGCGTACTTTTCCGACGTTCGTAATATGCGTGTCGTCGGCAAACAGAGACGTTTCAGAACACCCGACGAATCAGTGACAATGACAAGTGAGCGACTGATAAAAAAATTATGGTACGAAAAATTTCAAATTCACCACAGGGAAAGGGCGATTAAGAGCGGAAATGTGCGTGGAAAGAGTGTGAGTGAAGGCTAAAGAGAGACAATGAATGCGCATAACCGGTTAGGCAACAGCGATTGAGGAGATCGTGCCACGGTGCAAGCAAAAACACTACGAATTTCGTACGGCATCCCCCTGAACCTTCAAAAAAGTGAATATTGTGTCTGCTACCATAAATTCACCCAAATTATCGTTTTTTTTGCCTGTCAACAGGGTAGTCTACAATTTCTTGTTTCATGTATATACCAGCATGATATCAGTATCCAAAACAGCTCTCAATATCGACGATTTTGACCGAGAAAGACTATCAGGTAGAACCGGAAGTCATTTTAAATAATCGTAATTCTTTCTCTACTAGAGGTGTTGCTTGGCATGAATTTTGAAAAAGGCCCACGTATTTTTTGAAGGCGCTTCAAACGCTCTCTACTGTACAGCAGTTGCAGGAATAAAAAAGGAGGACCCGTCAAGCCTTGGGAATTTTAAGCGAGTCTGCCAAAAATCTGAAGATCATTTTGAAAAAAAAACCCAAGTCACTAGTATAAGTTCCACAACCTTTTCTTCCTAATGAGCAAAATTTATGTTGACCGAGCATCCTACAAATTGTTATGATTTTCAAGAAAAATGCCGAATAATTGATTTTGCCAATTTATGAGCAGGGCTTGGCACAGGTAGCTTGTAAGCAAGTTGGATATCGTTTTTGGGACGAAAAACAAAGGGAGTTTTCTGAGACCGAAAAGACACAAAATTTGCTTTTTTAGTCGACGTTTCGTTTTTTGGAGGTTTTTTTAGGGATTATGGTCTAGGGTTAAAGGGGATTCGTAAAAAAATTTGCGAAAGTCAAGGGGGACTTCGTTTTTTGCATTTTCAACTAGCCACTTCGTGTCGAGCCCTGTTTATGAGTTTTCGAGAATTATAAATTCCTAGAGACGCTCCGTCTACACATTTGCTCCATTAAAAACTTCGGACTCGCTCAAAATCTCCAAAGCTCGGGGTAATCATCCTTTCCTTCCTTACACCGGCAACCTGAGTATACTATAGGACAAGAAATGCGCCTTTCAGAAGATGGTTTTCGTTTTTTATGAAAGTGAATTCAGGCAGATTCTCTGCAAAAGAAACAGTTTACGAGTTTCGAAAATAGCGCAAAGGACGTTTTCGGTTCAACTCTAATAGAAAAATTTTACGTAACCTTGAAAGCAAATTTTTCTAATTTTTCTTTTTTTGGTCAAAGTAGTCAGACTTGGGAGTCACTTCGGATGCATACAGTAGCTCGACATGTACATGAAACAGCAAAATCCCACAATTTCAATAACAATAAAGCATAGTACGATTATATGTAGAGCTGAGCAGCTACAGCCAATTTGCAGCAGCTGCAGCCAGGAACAAAATAACTTTACTCAAACTCTGACATAAACGTGCGTCCGCTGCTGTCAAGTAACAGCGAGAATAAAAATGTTCAACTGTTTTCCGCTGCACACGACATTGTGGCCGTTGCGATCACATGTTTCCACACTAAACAACAAAAAGTGCCCGAAGAACGCGAATGTGAATAGAGGACGAGGAAAACGAGTTCGCGTGCGGCCGCGTCTTGCCGCGGCAAAAGAAATCACTGTCCTTGTTTTAGATGCGTCCAGCGACCCGACCTCTCGCAGAACAATCTAAACAAAGGGTTTTGGAGGATTTGAGATGAGAAATTGCGGTGGAAAGCGCGAGCGTTGCTGCAAGGGTAGAAGTATCTTACTTCGGAATACTCGCCGTATTTTGTATACTAAAGGCAGCCCAGACAAATCTGAAAACCCAAATATTTATGTGGATACTGTGCGTTTTTTTAGCTAAGCCATGTCCCAAGCGGCAGCTCAAATGATTCATTCCTCCAGTAGAAAACTCTAAACTCCAGCCCATACCGTAATATCAACCGTTCTCATACCGGTCCGCAAGGAAAAGCACAGTCTGGGCGAAAGCTCAAAGTTCAATTTCTCAGCCAAGCAAAAGTCGCACGAGCTGTCGCTGAGGCACTGGTTTATTTAGGAAAGCCCAATACTTTTTCACATGAAAAAAGCAAAAACCCAGATTCGCCTAGATTTAACTAGAAAATGGAAGTTTCCCCAGAGTAATATATGTGGTCTACTCGGTGATTGCACAAATGCCATGTAGATAAAATGTGAAAGGCGCTGTCTCTAGATAAGATAGAAGACAGGTTGAAAAGACTTTTTCTAAACTTCAGTGTTTCTTTTGCACAAACAGTCCATTTAAGGGCCGCTATATACATAACTTTGTCTGAATTCAAAAACAAATTTTATCGATCAGTTTTGAAACTAAAGAAATACTTCCAAAGTTCAGTCAGGACTTCAACAAAATCGTAAAGCATAACCATATACAAAACGCATGATAACGGATGTGCACTATCCTTTGCAGCGTCTAAAAACCAAAACCTTTCATAGAAAATATGTGAAAAATTCTCGAATAAATCAGTAAAACATTAGCTTCTCTCGCTGTCTGTGTGTAATATCCGTGACATCAAATCGTACAAGTCTGCCGCCGTTTTTTTTTTCAGAGATTATTTTTTCGACTAAATCTCCTGACATTATGTTAACGTTAAGAAGATTGTGCGAAGTTTTTGCCACACCGTTCGCAACATTTTTTTCTCATAGAAGTGTAAATGAAGTGTAAGATTATCGCACGTATGCAGACATGCACTACTATCATTGGAAATTACACCTTTTGCCAAGAGTTTGGTGGAAATGTGACAGTTTGTCATATAGATGTCATTTTCTTCATTTACTTCAAAAACTAAGCATTTGAAAGCCTTGCAAATTTTCAATAAAAACTCTATAAACAACATCTCAATCGATTTTTGAAAAATGCATACATGCAGTACTCAACGACAAAGAAACGTTATGCTTCGAAGGCAACCTTTAAGCAATTGAGCTCAGTTTCCGTTTATTCTTGAGTGGAAGGTGATGGGAAGAACTCGGCCAAAAACTAACATCTTATATAAGCAGCAGCTCTTGCAATGCATTCGTGGCCGGAAAATCCAGCTTCAAACTCCAGCCCAAAGCGCTCTTTCTACGGTACTTGAGGACGAGAGAGGTCCTCTCGGGAAGATTACGGTCTAGATTGGACATACAATAGCGCTTCGCCCGATTCATGCGACGTTACCGTAACGTGACTATATCACACTTCAGAATTGACAGATTATTAATCCAAGGACACCATTCGTCTCAGCTCGGCGCAGCGCATCTCCTGATATATGGAAAGTACTCGCTTGGACACCGTAGGAGGCAGGACTCCACGAATCGTTTCGACTTTTGCTTACGATAGAGGAGGAGTGCCATGAATGAGCACACTGAGTAACCCAGCGTAAGCAAAAATTTTAAACGATTCGTGGAATCTGGCCTCCTGTTGTGTCCAAAAAGCAGTTCTACATATCAGAGGATGCGCCGCGCCGAGCTGAGTCGAATGGTACCCTTGGATTAGGACATCGTCCACACCGAAGAGAGATATGGCCACACAAGGTAATGTCACATGAACCGAGCGACTCGCGTTGTTTTTCCAAAATGTACGAGCTCTAAGTTGATTTCCTTAACCAAGAATGAACCAAGGAAGCTGCCACTTGTGCAATAGCTTCCCATCATATCAATATCCAACAAGAATTCCACCTATTACCCACCGCTTCTCGCGTGGATACTGTTGAAAGCATTGCCTTCCAATCCCAAGCCTGCCTAGACGATAAGCTAACAGATAGTAATGGCATCTTATATACCGACTATAGCGGCCAATGTGCGTTGTAAATTTGCTTCAATAGAAAACAAGGTGGATTTGAGAAAGCAACACTATTAATTGCGCCATTTCGCTTTTTCTCTAGTGTCAGGCGTAAAACTCGTTCTGCGCCTGGTGCTCATCTGTAATTGTTCCCGCAGTCCAGTCTCGATTGTTGTTCATTCGTCGTAAACTCGCCGTTAGACTGCCCGGTAGCGATGACTTGACGTCTAGATGATTCGATAATTGAAATTCGTAAATTGAGAAACTCATAACATTTTTGAATCCAAGTGGCAGTAATTTTTCCGAATGCCTTCCCCCCCCCCCCTCATTCATGTAACACGCTCTGCTACTAAGGTTTAATTAATACTTGGTGATGGCAAACATTTTGGTCTCAAACGCCCTCCAACAACTTTTTAAATCAAAAAGTAAGAGCACTGGGTTGCTTGAGCTTCGACTTGACAAACTTAATTTTTGAAAATTTTCAGACATCAGAGCAGAGTGAGTATTTTTGACAATTTTCCAATTCGCACAATCGCTACTCGATGCAAAAACACTATACACATTGGTGAGAAAATGTTCCCTGACAATGTGCTGAATAGCATTTTGCGGATCATAAATATTTTCCAGGACCTGTGACATACTTAGCAGAGGAAGTGCGCCACATGAAAAGATCTTGAAAGGGTTTTGTACAATAAGAAGTCACAGAACTTTTTCAAAATTTTGTCTTTTAAATAGAATCGCGAGCGCATGCTACAGTTTGGGACTTATGTCCAAGTTTATTAGTACTAGGCTATTAAACTGAGAATGGACCATTATGACAGTGCATAACTTGAGATCAGATAAAGAGAAGAAAATGCCGCGATGGAACGTGCCTTTGAGCCCAATCGCGTCGTCTGCGCAAATTAACAACGACCCCATGCTCTTTTCAGCCAGACATGTTTTTTTTATGCGCTACAGACACTACCAGACCATAAAATCATTTATGGTGCGCTCGTCAAACGGTCATTACGATTCTGCACTCTTTAGTAG